TTCCCCCCCTCTTTTTGCCCCCGCTTTTTTTTTTTTCCCCCCTTTTTTTATTTTCTTTCGGGTTCCCCCTTTTTACCCTTTATTTTTTTTCCCCCAAAAATGCGACCCCCCCATCACCTAAGCCCCAGGTCCTATACGGGTCTTACTATAATGAAGAGATGCAAAGGTTTTAAAGGAAAAATATGCCCAATGTTTTGCTTATCCAAGGAAAATTATTATTTTAATAAAAAAGAACGCTAGCCACAAGGGCTATACAGCACCCAAGGATTAAACCCCCAGCCCCTCAGTTTGTGGTGAGGCACCTCCAACCAAAGAGCCAAGTAAAAGGGAAAGCAAGCCCAAAAACCCTGGTCAAGAGCTTTAACGGGCGCCCCTTGAGGGATACAGGGTTTTACATTATATTTTTGGGACACTTCAATTTTTATTTAACGCCAAGAGAATGAGTAGTAGTCGGGTTTTTGATCAAGGGAAGGGAACGACGCTCCAACCCCTTGGATAAAATTTTCCCCTTACCAGTATCAAGGATCCTCTTAAAAGTAAATGAGGATAAATAATAAAAATAAACCTTTTTTTTTTTAACCCCCGTAAGATCGAAAATGTTTTATTTACACGGAAGGCACTTTTAGTTCCTTTTAAAAGCAATATAACTAAGCAAAACCCCACTAAATTGTCATTAACAATGTCACTACCCCCTCTGACATATCCCATGCAGAAATAACCAATTTAACCTATCCCTAGAAAAAATGATGAAAATAATGGGAAACCCGGCAAAACGCCCCTCCAGGACAGTTAAAAATTATCATCGGAGAATTGAAGGTTTTAAGTGGGACCAGGCCCCCCTCTTAATTTAGGAAATTATTTATTTTATTTTTAGTTTTTACTTGTCACTGTCTCTTTAAAAATTTTATTTATTTATTTTTATTATTGTTTGGCCAAAAGGATGATATAATGTTTGTGTCGTGCTTGGTTTGGGGTTTAGTCCCGTTTACACGTTTGTAAGGGTTGATCTCCGGCCGGGGGAAATATTTGGGATTTTCCCTGACCAAATTGTGTCCCTGTTTTACCAGCAGAAGTAGTACCCGGGGTTGCCCATGGTTGGGGGCATCCTGGGGACAATATTTAAATTAAAAGTACTCCAATGGAACTAAGAAAGTCCTTGTGACGCACTATTTTTTAAATAATAATAATAAAAATAATAATAATTAATAATAATAATAAAAATAATAAAATAAATTTAAAAATAAAAAAATATCTTTATTTTACAAGTACATGTACAAGGTATAAATTTCTATCTGACATCAACGTATAAATACTAACAGAAAACCCTTTGTTTCAGGCATTTCCAGCAAATTGATCCACACCAGTCAATAAATCCAGGTCCCTATTTTGCTGGGGTTTAACAGGGACAGCGGTGTTTAGAAAATATGTAAGTTTATTGGGTTAACCAAATACAGTTACAAGATTATCATACAAGCAATTGTGTAGAAAACCTGGGAAAACCCCAAAATGTCAGTGATTATTTCCTTTGGGGTCCTTTTACCTTATTATTATTCTAAAAGGGGAAAACATTTTTTTAAAAATAAAGGAGAATACTGGGAAAAAAAAGGGAAGTTTACATGGTGTTAACTAGAAAAAAAAAAAAATTCCCCCCCTTCCCTCTTTGTCGCTACATTCATTAGGACTTTTGGAAAACCTTTTAAAAAGGGTTTTCTTTCTTAAATGGCTTTGACATGTCAGGCGTTGTTCCATTCCTTTATTGTTGTACAATAAAAGATGTTTGAAGCCTGGCCACTGACTGTGGGTACTACAAAGTTGTGCTCTCTCCCCCTAGTACTATGACTGCTCCGGTTCTCAGCCTTGTCAAAATTGGCAGCAAGATATTCTGGATATTGTTTGTGAGCAATTTTATAAACTTAAGGAAACACGTCCTGGCCGGCTAACCGTCCTGGTTAAAAATCCGAACAAAATCTTGCTGGGGGAGGGGGGGGGTTGAGTTTGTTAAGGGCCACCACAGTATAAGCCTTATTGAGCCCCACCTCACAGCTCCCACGGGAGGACAGTAAGTAAGTTTATTCAGGTATACACAAATACAGTTACATAGAATTATCATACATAACAGCATATGTGTAGAGAACCTAGGATAACCCAAAAAAGTCAGACAGAGGATTATTCCATTGGGGGAGGTGCCAATACTGTACAAATAGGAGTCCCGAGGTTCCTGGTCAAGATAAGTAAGCATGGGGGGAAGGCATCATGAAGTTTTCCTACCCTTTCCCAAGCCTTGGGGAAAGGGAGTTAAGGAAAGAATTTAGGGGACAGGAATTCTTGCGAATCCCATCCAGAATAATGATGGCATTCGTGCCCAACCCGGCGACAGGCCTAATATTTGCCGGGTTTCAATTATTCCCTTGATCTACGGCACCAAACGTTGCCCAAAACTATAAAGGTATAGGCATTAAATAGAGTGGACACATGACAACACAAAATAGACATAATGACCTATGCTAGGTAAGTCCAAATAACACCAAACTCAATTACCCGTCCAACCT